CTCTGCCTTGAGGCAGGCGTACTGTTTGCCTCACCGAGTATCTTTTTTTTACTGGGTTTTATGGTTAATCTGCAGCCTAAACACGTTACAGGACTAGATTTTATACATTATCCAGATTATGGCAAGGCAGAGCATATAGTCAGAGTGTTTGAAAGCATTTTATTTGTGATATATAGAGGGACAGCGACACACGATTTGCATCGCATACAGTTTGTGAGGATTACACGATCCACCGAGAGGCACAGCAAAGTGCTGCCTCATCGCGCATCTCCTCCATGTATTTGAACGGGACATACGGAAATTCTGCTATTCTTTATGGAAAAAAATTCCTTCAACATCGGATTCGAACGGCAAAAGGGCCTACAACACACACCAGCCCACAAATATTAACATTTATTATATTTTGGTTAACTTTTCTTTCTTTTGAAGATTGGCCTCCCCTGACCGCACGTCACTGATGAGCATAAGCTTCACTGGAGGTGCACATGCGATGCTATGCTTTTGGCCTGTTTCACTGTGTGCATGTCACGGACTGTCATGCCTCTAAATCCGATAATCACAACATTGGAATTATTTAAAATGATAGGCCAGTCACTGGTTAAGGCCAATCTTGCTGATAACTGGCCATTTCTGATCTCTGCCAATTGACTGATGAATCTCTATTGAAGAAGACAAACATTTAGGCATTAGATGGCTGTTTGCACTGAGAAGTAAAGTACATCTACTGTACTCAGCGTTTTAATAGTTAACTTACTGCAGCATCCACATTGGCCGGTGAGTCACCATTCGGGTCTGCCAGCATAGAGATAACACTAATCATGATGGTTTCCACTGTGTGGATGGGCAGCCAGCGCTCCTCTGGTTTCTCATAGCCATACTTGTCCTCCCCAGGCTCGTGCAAAATAGAAATACAAACATCTCCATTCTTGTCAACTGGAAAAATGTGTAGAAAATGTATGAAGCAAAAAAACTACTATTCCAATTACATAACTGATGTTTGCTTTCAACACTCATTTATGCAACATGTAACCAACCAGCTACATAATTAATGATACTGTTTATAGATGGTGCCTATGGAAGAGATCTGCCTTCACTATGAGGTAATATACTGTAATATTTAGCAGGGACATCTTTGGTAGCAGTTACAGCCTTCAGACTACAGTAGGCGAATAAGCTTTTGCAAACCTGGACCGTCCAGTTTCTCCCTATTTTTACTTGCAAAGCTACTCAAGTTCTGTTCAATAGTGTAGGGACAGTGAGTGAACAGCAATTTTCAAGTTCTTACACATACAGTGACTGAACTGGCATCTGGCTACTGAGGACTTTAAAATTCTTGTTTTAATCCATACCTGCATAATTCTGAATTTAAATTTCATTAACTTGATAAACCTAAACATATTTTCTAATTACCCATGTTACTGATAATTTCAAAGAATATAGTGTACCAGTATGTGGCACATTTTCTGATGATTCAGCTTTTAATTCTACAACCAACATGTACAAAAACTTAAAGGTGTAGAACCATTTCCATAGCAGTTAATATACTAAATAAAAAAAACTAAGTCAGTAAAAATGGTAAAATGCATTTGATGGTTAACATAGCTTGTACAACACTAACACATCATAAGTATAGTGTATAATATATAACCAGCCTGAAAGGTACTCGGTTTTCTCTTAAGAGATGGTGGTATATTTTAGCTTATTTTTGTTATATCATCTTCTCAGCAATACTACAATTAAGTTCTTATTCAATAACCTGTTATGAGTGACTCTGGTAGACTCTTGTTGATCTTGCTGTGGAAAAGTATTCCTCTGTGTTTTCTTTACTTTACAAACACAACTGAAGAACTTGAATTAGCAGTGAGCGTTAAGTTGATGTCATATTTAATGAACTATAAATTTTCCTTTGTTTTAACTAATGTAAAATCAGCAATCTCAAAATTGAACACAAATCACAGAGATATTTAACATACACTTCCTCAAACAGGTCTTATTACAAACAAGGGCAAATATCATGGACATTGTGCTACACATGCACCTACCGTTAGGATGCCAAATATCTGTTATAAATTTCATTTTAGGTGGCCTGAGAGGGTAATCTTTAGGAAATGTCAGATGAGCTTTAAACACACCACCTTCACTGTGAACAAAAAAAAGATAAAAAAATAAATAAATACAGCAGCATAGCAGGTAAATGTTAAAGTTTCAGCACTTCTAGAGCAATAGAGGCAGTAACAGTTCTTCAAAACAAACAAAACCACCTCTCTCTCCTACTACTGTACAGTGGGTACGGAAAGTATTCAGACCCCCTTAAATTTTTCACTCTTTGTTATATTGCAGCCATATGCTAAAATCATTTAAGTTCATTTTTTTCCTCATTAATGTACACACAGCACCCCATATTGACAGAAAAACACAGAAT